CATTTACAATTTTTTTTAGGGAAGCAAGAAAAAATGACCACACATATGCATCAGTAATAAAGCAGAGCATGTTTGTTTTCTTATCTTATGGGCTTACATTGTATTTAGTAGCCCCAAAACCAACCCTCAGAGAACAAGTGCCAGTGATTAGATACTAATAAAAACATGCTCCAGACAATATATAATCATTTTTAATTAGGAAGGATCAGAAAACAATGTCCTAATAAGTGAGTTGTTTTCACATTTCACTATATAAGGGAGCACATTTGAGCCCTCACAAGTATAGCTAAACCAGTACACACACATACACATGTTGGTATTGTTGGTTTATGAGTTCTCTCTGTAGCTGTAATGTATTTTATACTGTAAAAAAAACATTTAATATTAAGGCTAATACCCCTATCCCTAAACTCGACCTTCAGGAAACATGTGACAAAATTTGAATGTAAAAAAACCCAGTTAAGTATGATTTTGAAATGTAAAAAAAAAATTAAATCACAAGGGACATAAGGCATGTCCTTGTAAACCACTCTAATAGAGTACAACTTGGGTTGTTTTAATATTTCACTATACAAGTACAACTAAGCCCTCACAAATATAGCTAAACCAGAGCACACACATATTGGTATTGGTGATTTGCAAGGACTCTGAATAGCTGTAATGTATTTTATACTGTAAAAAAACACTTTAAGTTATTATGTTAAGGTTAATAACCCTATCCCTAAACTCGACCTTCAGGAAACCTGTGACAAAATTTTAATGTGAAACGACTTCGTTAAGAATGATTCTTTATTATTTTTAAAGCATTTTGAAATCAAAGGGACACAAGGCATGTCCTTGTAATCTATTCTAATAGAGTACAACTTGGGTTGTTTTCATATTTCACTATACAAGTACAACTAAGCCCTCACAAATATAGCTAAAGCAGTACACACACACACAAACATTTTTATTGGTGGTTTGCAAGAACCCTGCATAGGTGTACTGTAAACAGTAAAAAACACTTATTATAAGGCCCTGCTTCTAAACCCTACCTTCAGGAAACCTGTGGCAAAATCTGAATGTGAAATGTGAAAAACACCAAAACACATTTTTTGAGCTGTTGACAGTTTTATATGTGTCCCACACTGCTAAAAAACACTATTAGGACACCTATTTTTCACTAAAAAGTGTAAATTGGTTGTTTTTGCGTTATTTCAAGCAAATTCGTACTTCCGGTTTGAAGCGAATTTTTGAAGCTGCGTCACGGTCATGACATAATAGCGTTGTATTCCAGCGTGCAGACTGGGCGTGACCTCTCCCGGAGGTGAATTAATTATTTATGAATAAGTAATTAATTCAAAACGAATTGATTATTTGTAGCTTACCATTTCAACTACCTGACCCGCATGGTCTTTGTTTTATCCATTTACAAATCATAAATAAATAGAAATAAGTTGCACACAAATTACCACCTGTCAATCACTTTTTCCGTGGAAGGTTGATCGGTAAAAAAGGTGCCCAACCAACAGTATCTGAGGTTTTCACTAAAATTATTAAGTACAAGTGTGAAAGTAAAAGACTGAAGCAGTGTACTGATGCTGTGACACGTTATCTGATAGATTCACAAGGCCAAAGAGTCGTCAGATAGAGACAAGATCAATTAAATATTACGTTTAACAACTATAGTGAGACGCGATCCAGCGGTACATTCTTGATAAACTGTCCGATGTGCACTGCTCTCTGAAGCTACGAGAGCATGACAGTGTGTGTGGCTGTGTGTGTGTGTGTGTGTTTGTGTGTGTGTGTGTGTGTATGTGGTCACATGATGTGCATTTCAGCGCATAAAGGGCTGTTCAGAAATGCTAGGTAAAACACGGTGTGGATGTGGATCCTTTTCGTTTTAAAATGGCAATTTAATACTAAGACGTATTAGTGTAAACGAGGCCTAAGTGTGTATTTTTCACGAGCAAGTTTGCGACGGGGGCGGGGCGGAGAATCAGCGATGCTGGCTCAGCATCGTGTTGTCTATTGGCCATTGGCGAAGGACGATGGCATCGTCTATTGGCCCAACCCTATTGGTATTAATACGGGCTTTGCTCTCTCGCACTCTCTCTCCTAATCAGAAGGGAGATGAATAATGAATAATAATATTAATATTTTAACATTCTTGTTTTTTATAAGAAAATAAGATGAGATTGCACTAATTTAGTTTTTTTTTTAATGTAATCTTTTACTTAATTTGCATACTTTCTTAAATTTGTTCTCCACAGTACCGAAAATGGTATTAAATATCGATCTTTTTCAATGAAATTCCCCTACTGTGACAACACTAATGCAAAGTCAATGTGAATAAAGGCATTATCACCAGCTCCTTTTGCAGCAGGTTGTGCAGCTTGTGCTTTCTCAGTAGTCTTTGGTTCTTCGGGTCTGGTTGGAGATCCATCTTTACCACTTCCTGATGTTGAGCAATTCTGGACCTGTGTCCATGTTAAGGAAGTGACCCTGAAATCCGGAAAGCTAAACCAGAGTTTGTGCACACCTCCTCTACTTTGCCAACCTATTAAGAATCAGAGAATCATTTGTGCATCTGGTTTAGAAGTATTGAATTAAAATAAACTTTTTTCACACGACAGATGGAAATCATAGTGCGTGAAGTGCTTACCAAAACAGGGCTTTGAAATTTTGGAGGATCTCTGAGACAGAGGGGCTCGTTGTTGCAGGTAGACCCGGCAGAGGACTTGCCATGGTCTGTGGGCCAGACAGGGGAACATCCTCTCTGTGTCAAGTCCAGGAGACACACACTGAATTCTGCTGGACATTTACAATATACTGTATTAGGAAAATCAGACTGCACTGAAGCTTATTACAGGAGTCACGTTAACTGGTCATGTGACTGTCCACACTGTCGGCTGACTAATCACATTTCTTCCAAGTACAAAAATACATCTACTCTGCAGAAATAAGCCACAATTTAACTTCAATCAATCGTTACATTGTTCTATCAATCCATCATTCTATCTATCTATGAATCAATGTAACATTTTTTTCTTTCTGTCTGTCTGTCTAATTTATTCATCCTATCTGTTTATCCATCCTTCCATCTAAATACCAATGTAACAATTAATCATATCTATCTACCATCTATGAATGACTGTAACAATTTATTCTTTCTATCTATCTATCTATCTATCTATCTATCTATCTATCTATCTATCTATCTATCTATCAATTCATTCATCCTATCTATCCATCCATCCATCGTTACTTGGTAAATAATTTGGTTAGATCTGTCTGTCTGCCTCTGTCATTCTTCTATCTATCTATGTATTCTATCTATTCATTTATCCTATCTATCCATCTTTAGTTGGTTGATAAATAGCAAACTATTTGGTTAGATACTGTATGTATGTCTGTTTTTCTGTCTCTGTCATTATCTATCTATCTATCTATCTATCTATCTATCTATCTATCTATCTATCTATCTATCTATCTATCTATCTATCTATCTATCCTAAATATTCATAAATGCATCCATAACATCATATTGGTCAGCTAATAAGCAAACTAAGAAAATATCTCTGTACAGTAAAATAATCATAATAACATCAAATTTCATCTCAATTAATGTATTTATTACGACAACAGGCAAACCCAGTTTTGACAGTATGAACACTTGTTTGTTTTTTAGACCATGATAAGCTTAGAATTAGCATTCAATGGTCATTATAAGGCTTTAAATCCCTCCACTTCGTCCCAGGACCAGACAGGATGTGTCTAAACGAGGGACTGCTTTATTTTCAATTTACAATCAGATTAAGCGAAAACTGCCGCTCCGTAAACAACACACTGCTAACTGTGTCTGACTGCAGCCGGTGTCTTTCAGTTAGCCTAGCCTGACAAGCTACAGCTTAGCAAGATGCTACAGATGAATGAGTATTAACATACACTATATATATGAAGGATGAAATAAATGAAGCTTAGTTATTCTTTACCTTCATGAAGCTCAGTCCATTGTTCACGGGTGGTCGACAGCTAACTCAACAGTCGATATCGAGTAGCACCAACAAAAAGTAGTTTAGATGAACAGCTCGCGAGATTGCGAGTCAACGAACGAGAGAGCGTCACCGCGTCTGCAGACACGCTAAACAGCCTGATAGTGGAGGAGCCCCTCACTGGAGATGCTCAGGATTTAAAAATAGCTCACGTTCTTAATTTTACAAAAACAAACAAACAACAACAAAAAAATTAATATTAATAATAGATGGTAGTAATAATAATAATAATGAAAGGAAAAAAAAATATGTATCACTATGAATAAAAAAATCCCACATGCGCAAAAACATAATTATAAGCGCGTAGATAAACCTAATTATGCACTAAAATGGTCTCTTGGTGCCAAAAGTAATACCTGTATTGCTTGTACTATACTTTTATCTGTTGTATTTACATAGTAATTGGCTTTTGTTGCTGAAAATATTAAATAAATAAATTAAATTATAAACAAATAAATAATGATTTACATAAAAAAAGATAAACCTATTTTTTTATTTAAAAAAAACGAAATAAAAATTATATTAGTGTAAGTTTTTGTGGATAATTAGAACTAAAACTATTTCTGGTACTTAAAATTAAATAAAAGTCAACTGAAAAATAATTGTAAAGAAAATCTTGATGTCAAGAAGTTATATTTATTTTTATTTTGATTGAATTTGATGTACTAAACTATAACCAAAATAAAGTAAATACAAAAAACTATGTACACATTTACTAAATATATACCAAAAACTTGTATACTGCATATACATAAACATATAACAAAAACATAATAAAAGAAAGACACAAAGACAGCAAAATACAAAATAGAATATTTATAAATAAAATATAAATATTATAATGTTTATTTAATTTGGGATTACTTAGGTTTATTAGTTTACTACTCGTTTATCGGTCTAAAATATGTAAATGGCTTTTATGGTCTTGGGGACACGAACAAAACATTGGAAAAAAAGTCATCTCAAATGCCTTTTCTTTAATCCCATTCAGAAAAGTTTTCCAGCTCTTGAAGCCACTGCTCCTCCACCTTCAAAAACATAAAAAAAAAACAGTTCAGACATGCACACAACACACATATTTTTTGACAGAGCTGGGCTACAGATTAAATGTGCGTTTTACAGCATTTAATATACAGTTGAATTCACAAATATTAGCCCCAGGACTTGGAGTTATAGTGTTCACTTTATTTTTGATCACTATATTTCCTAAAAGATGGTTAAAGATGCAGTATGTAAGTTTGACAACCAGTGGTTTAACTAGATATTGCATTCCTGGATCAAAACAAACGCAAGTGCAGGTTGCCAGATTGAGGACCAAAAAACAAGTCAGACGACAGAGTTATTAAACTATTATGATTAGAAATGTGTTGAAAAAAAACTTCTCTGGTTTTATGCTGATTTCATACTCTAAATCCTTCAATTCTGTTCCATTAAACAAAAATTGGGGAAAAATATACAGGGTGCTAATAATTCTGACTTAAACTGTAGCTATAGATGTATCAACCTGTTCATTTATCAGTTTAACTGAGGGTTTGTCTTCAGTCATTCTGGCTTGTTGAATCTGAGGAAGATGGACAAGAGAAAAGGGACTTTTCTGGAAGTCTGATGTCTCATTTGTGTCTGAATCTTCAGAGAACGGCTCTGTGCATTGCCTCTTCTCAGAGATGAAACTTGAAGATTCAAGATCGCAGTGAATCCTCTTAGAAGACAGTAATGGGGGATTTTCAAATGCTGGAAAACATAAATCAAAACACAATAATCTCAGACAACTATAAATGATGTGTGTGCTGCTTTAATGTCAATAGCTGCCGAAAGACTTGAATTAGGAAGACAAATTTTCATTCATTCATTCATTTTCCCTCGGCTTAGTCTCTAATTTCTCAGAGGTCGCCACAGCGGAATGAACTATTCCAGCAAACGTTTTACGCAGCGGATACCCTTTCAGCTGCAACCCAGTACTGGGACACACATATAGACTCATTCACACCATTGCCAATTTAGTTTATCCACTTCACCTATAACGCATGTCTTTGGACTGTGGGGGAAATCAGAGCACTCGGAGGAAACCCATGCCAACATGGGGAGAACATGCAAACTCCACACATAAATGCCAACTGGCCTAGCTGGGACTCGAACCAGTGACCTTGTGTCTTGCTGTGAGGTGACAGTGTTAACCACTAAGCCACCGTGTCACCCAGTAACTGTAGTATGCTGAATTATTGACACATGAACATTAAATTAATATAATAATATTAACTATTCCTTGAACTAATTAAAACTTACCCTCTTCCAAGATGTCAGGACTCCTTTTTTGAGAGCAAACAGCCTGTGTCACCTTCTAAACACATTACAATCACAAACATTCAGTAAGAAGGTTAACTGATGAATGCAGAAATGAAAGAAACACTTGTGAAAGCACCTTTTCTTTTCTACACTTGGTCCTTGGAGTAAATCGCCCATCCACAATGCTTTGAAGAGACTGTCGCAGTGATGTCTGTAACTCACAGGTGCTCTTGACCTAAAACAAACCCATTTTTTTAAACAAATGTCACAAGTTTCAAAAGCACCTCCTTAAGAATAAGTGAAATGACACATAAAAGTGTGTGTTTTTGGAGCCAGTATGAATTATAGCCATATAACATACCCTCATGCTATCAACGCAGGCTGTTCGAAACTCTCCATTGCTGCTGCCGGCAATGATACTGTTCACTGAGCTCAAGACAATGGGTATGGTAGAATTCAACCTTTGCCTGCCCTTAAGGACACACAGAAAAGACGCATGCTTCAGTGCTGTTTAAACAATGACTAATAGCTGTGGTGTCACAATTGCTCCATTTAGACTACTGTTCAAAACTTGGGGTCGCAAAGCCTTTTAAGGGTTTTGGAAGAAATATTTTATGCTCACCAAAGGCTTGTGAGAAAAGAAGGTGGTAAAAATACATTAAAACAGTAATACTGTAAAATATTATCACAGTTCATTTTAAAACATGTTATCAGTATGTTAAAACATGTTAGCATTGTGCTTAATCATGCTAGTAACCTTATAAAGCTTGCTAGCATTGTTTTAAATCATGTCTCATTGTTTTAAATCAGGTTATTAGTGTATTAAATTCATGTAAGAAACATTAACAAGATAACATCTATCTATCTATCTATCTATCTATCTATCTATCTATCTATCTATCTATCTATCTATCTATCTATCTATCTATCTATCTATCTATCTATCTATCTATCTATCTATCTATCCATCCATCCATCCATCCATCCATCCATCCATCCATCCATCCATCCATCCATCCATCCATCCATCCATCCATCCATCCATGTCTTGTTCTGAGATGTTATCATTATTTATTTATTTATTTATTTTTCTGGATTCTTTGATAAATTAAAAGTTAAAAAGAACCATTTTTGTGACCCTGTGGCAAAAAAATCTGTCTTATATTGCACATTGTGTCGGTCAAAAACGAGAGATATTTCCTTTTATGCCAAAAATCATTAGGATAATAATGAAGACATACCATGTGTAATATTGAAGACATTAAAAATTTACTGAAAACATATTAAAGCCTAATTTTTGATAAACAATATGCATTGCTAAAAACTTAATTTGGACAACTTTAAAGGTGAATTTGTTTTAGTCTTTTCTTTTTGGCACACTCAGATTGCACACTTTCAAATACTTTAAAATATCTCAGCCAGATTTTATCCTAGCTGAAAAGCTTATTCATTCAGCTTTCAGATCATGTATAAATCTCAATCTTACAAAAATGACCCTTATGACTGATTTTATAGTCCAAGGTTACAATTATTAACAGCTAAATGTGCTATTATTAGGCAGCTAGCATTATATATGTCTTTACTGTCAATTTAATGCATGCTTGCCACATGAAAATACTAAATTCACACTTCTGAACAGCAGTGTAGTAAACTCAATGACAACAACAACAAAAACAAATCTTACTGCATGTCTTTTCTGAAATCTCTTCAGTGTTTTTTTCATGGTAGACTGAAGAGTCGCCCTCAGTTGATCTTCGTTGTACCAAAGAATTGCATCCAAGTGTCTCTCAAAAACCTCCTCGCTGCCTGACACATCCAAAAAGAATATATTTAAACCATTAAATGGATTATTCATACAAAAATACAAACTTTGTCACCATTCGCTCATTCTCTTCACTCTTTTCTTGAAACCCAAACATATAAAAAAAAAAATTTGACCTCAGTAGTTTTTTTTCTATCGTGCATGTTTACAACCAACTTTCTTCAAAACATCATCTTTTGTATGAAGAAACTTATGAGGGTTTGGAGCTTCTTGAGGGCATAAATAGTAAGTAAATTTTAATTTGTCGTGAACAAACATGCGGCAGACTTTTTATTTAAGTACGATGACAAATTTCCAACTGAAATGCAATATTGGGTAGCGGGTTGGGGTTAGATTTTTGTGCTCGTCCTCTCATCAGCAATTTAACAGTTGGAGGGGAGTGGCTAAGCATATTTCACCCAATCCGTCAAACTGACATAATCAGAGAAGGACTGCCGTTTCAGAGTGGAAGCAAATGGTTACATTTTCCAAACAGTTTTGTTCACTGGATTAACACAGATTAATTGTTTACCCTAAAGGGCACACATTATTCCCCTTTTTACAAGATGTAACACAAGTTTCTAATGTCCCAAGAGTGTGTATGTGAAGTTTCAGCTTACAATATTTACAAATAATGGTTTATAACTCTGTGAAACTGGCGAAGCAGTGGCGCAGTAGGTAGGGCTGTCGCCTCACAGCAAGAAGGTCGCTGGTTCGCACCTCGGCTCAGTTGGAGTTTCTGTGTGGAGTTTGCATGTTCTCCCTGCCTTCGCGTGGGTTTCCTCCGGGTGCTCCGGTTTCCACCACAGTCCAAAGACATGTGGTACAGGTGAATTGGGTAGGCTAAATTGTCTGTAGTGTATGAGTGTGTGTGTGAATGTGTGTGTGGATGTTTCCCAGAGATGGGTTGCGGCTGGAAGGGCATCCGCTGTGTAAAAAACTTGCTGGAAAAGTTGGCGGTTCATTCTGCTGTGGCGACCCCGGATTAATAAAGGGACTAAGCCGACAAGAAAATGAATGAATGAATGAACTCTTTAAAAACTGACCCTATTAGGCTTTGGATCAAAGGGTGCTTCTTGGTGACTGTTGCTTTAAATTCAAATGAGATTGTGATCTTTTTAGAGGAGCGCTACAAACATCTATGTCTCAGCATATTGGCAGATTCAAAACAGGACTAACATCCTCTATGAAAAATGTCAAAAGAAGTGGCTCAGAGCAATTATGTGGAGACTAGTGTTTTTTCATTTGTGCATCCAAAACTCCACATTTATAATGCTTCTTAGTCACTGAAATTATCTTCAGCAGGTACTGTGTAAAAACTCTAATGGCAGACGGCTGCTTCTCACTCAGAGCTGTCTATGCTAATGATGGAGAGATTGTCACTAATGGGTGGGGTTTTCCCCCTCTGATGGCACAGGGAGAATGTCAAAGTGCTTTTGCAGACTAATAAATAGAAATAATTCATTTTTAACATTAAAATGCTGAATATAGTCACACACTCTTACCACACAACTGTGTTTAAACCCCTTATAAATGTGATTTTTGCAAAATAGTTAAAACTAACAATGTGTTCTAGCAAAATAAACATTGTAAATTCTTAAGTTCATGGGGACTTTAAGACAAATCTAAATACATCTATGTAACAGAGCAATCAAAAGGGGCTCACTTATGAAGTCTGTGATCTGGGAGCGGAAGGGGTCCGTGTACTGAGCAAAAATGAACACAGTTAGAGTCTGTTCTACAGCGTGACTGCATTCTGGCTCATTGTTCTGTTGTACAGCATCCCAACATCGTGGTTCCTGACTGCGTTTGATTTCAACTGAGAATTCTACATCTGAACACAGAGAGCCTGTAAAGAAATACATAATTAAATGATATATACACTGTCTGAACAACTCTAGCCTCAAATCCAATGTGATTTGTAGCACATTATGCTTTGCAGCAAGGCTGCCATCCATAAAATTACAACACAGTGAGAGAACTTGCTCTCAGCAACCCCAATTTCTTCCCATTTAGACCTGTCATTTACCCTGGATGTTTTGTGATTCTTTACAGCAGACTTTGGAAAGGCCGAGATCCGCCCAGGACAGTGAAGTAGCCAAACTCTGGAGGAAACTCATCTGTGCTTGTTGCATTAGAGGCAGGCCACATGGACTATACACTAATATGTGTGATGACTGTTAAGTAAACCAATATTTTAACTTTTTTTTATAATAATACAGCAAATAACACCACTCATAAGACTACTACTGTAACCATATGCATTTTTGGTGCCACAATGTTTTTTTTTTTTTTTAAGTTCCTTGTTTTGTTTAAAAGGCACCTATTTTACCCCTTTCTCTGGATTTAAGATAAGTCTTTTGTGTCTCCAGAATGTGTCTGTAAGGTTTCAGCTCAAAACACCCATCAGATTATTTATTATAGCTTTCAGAAAGTTGGAATGTTCTGCTTTAAACACTATGTAGCTGTTTTTGTTGCTTGTGCCTTTAATACTAGTTCTCCCTGCCCACTGTTCCCACGTGCCTGTCAGAGTGTGCCTCAATCTCCGCCTTGGCTGTGGCGGATAACAGACAGACATGAAGAAAGCAGATCTCACGTAACGTTTGTGAGAAATACTATGAAGTATGAAGTTTCCCAATGATTATTTGATGTATTTGTTGTGGAGTTAATTTAAGCTTTTCTGCGATGAGTCACACACAACATTGTTACAAAGTTTACGCACAGACACAGCGTGCAAGTTAACTTTGCAATATATAATATTTGCACAGCAAATATGACAGGATACACTGTTGTATGGATATCCGTTATGTTAATGTACAAAATAAACCTGATTTATCGTCCACAAACTGGGATTGAAGCATCTTCTTTTATAATTGTACTGACATGCGGCTGTGCTGATAAAGACGAAAAAACAACAACGCTGTAATTCATTACAAACATGCACTGTTTTAAAAACGTTTTAAACTCGTAAAACTCATTCTTGATTTGAAAATAATTGATGATCATAGAGAGCTGAACAGATCTTTTAATCCCAGTTGCTTTGCCCATGTCCTGTCAAGTTGATATGATTATATGCTGTACTATGGAGACACGTTGCGGTACTCCTACGTCACGCTGCAGTCGGCCTCAAAATGTGAGGGATTAAGATCCTATTTTAACATCAGGAAATTTTAAAAAAGAGACTTATTGTCTTTATATCACCCCAATATGACTGTGGACACACTATACCTACACACAGTTCTGTCCAAACAGCTTACAAAAGATTATTTTCCATCATAGGTGCCCTTTAAGTTCTAAAATATATTTATATAATTATATTAGGCCAAAACACTTTCATTTTCCAAACAATTTACACACTGTGGCATCAGTTCTTGAAACAGTTGGTTCAAGGATCAGCTCACTCTAAACCCTGTCCTCTGAGTGTCGCTCTACTCTGATTGGTCAATGTTAGAAACAAATGTTTATTCCCATATCTCAGCTCTAGAAGCTTCTTCAGCACTTGTAAACGCAGTGATATGAACAGCAATTATTGTGTTGGCTCTACAGCATCAATTTGAGTCCTCATCCTCTGGAGGTTTGTTTTTTTCAGCAAAGAAAACAACATCTAATTGACATATCGACAACACAAACCAAACTTTTCCAGGCCTCAATACAACCACAATGTTTGATGCTCAATGCCGATGACTACAGACACCCAATTAAGTACATTTATTAAGTACGCATTCATTCATTTTCTTTTCAGCTTAGTCCTTTTATTATTCAGGGGTTGTCACAGCGGAATGAACCGCCAACTTCTCCAGCATATGTTTTACGCAGTGCATGCCCTTTTAGCTGCAACCCATCACTAGGAAACACCCATGCACTCTCATTCACACACATACACTACGGACAATTTAGCTAACCCAATTTACCTATAGCACATGTCTTTGGACGGGAAACCTACACCAACACAGGGAGAACATACAAACTCCACACAGAAATGCCAACTGACCCAGTCGAGGCTTGAACCAGCGACCTTCTTGGTGTGAGGCGACACCGCCCCGCCCCATGTCATTAAGTAAACGTGTTAAATATGTAGGCTTGTGAAACTTTGCACACCTTTCACTACTAGAAGTTATCTGAAAAAGCATAATAGCTGTACATTTGAATGACAGGCGACGCAGTGGCACAGGAGTGCTGTTGCCTCACAGCAAGAAGGTCGCTGGTTCGAGCCTCGGCTGGGTCAGTTAGTGTTTCTGTGTGGAGTTTGCATGTTCTCCCTGCGTTCGTGTAGGTTTCCTCTGGGTGCTCAGGTTTCCCCCACAGTCCAAAGACATGCGGTATAGGTGAATTGGGTAGGCTAAATTGTCCATAGTGTATGAGTGTGAATGAGTGTGTGTGGATGTTTCCCAGAGATGGGTTGCGGCTGGATGGGCATCCGCTGTGTAAAACATATGCTGGATAAGTTGGAGGTTCATTCTGCTGTGGCGACCCTAGATTAATAAAAGGACTAAGCCAAAAAGAAAATGAATGAATAATTTTGAATGACAAACAGTATGAAAAGGATATCCGTATGCATGAGAGGTGAGTGGGCCAGTTGGCATACTGATCCATACAGGGTGCAAGTGTTGCCATGGTAACTACACTCATTTCTCCATACAGTCCAGCCTCTATTGTGTCCGTGGGGAGCACAAAGCTCAGCGGGTCTCCCAATTCCTGATGAATTTCTGGACAGGATTGCAGACTCCATTTGGAGAGCAGACTCCTTCAAAATCACAGAAAGACAATAATCATGACAACTGTCATTGAGGTTGAGTTGTACTGTTTAATACAGCATTGCAGAAACTGACTGTCTGTATGAAGCAGTGTCCATAGAAATGTTGTAATCCATCACTGAAACTTTACTTTTCTCACCACTGTAAAGGAAAAAATAAAGACTATCACACAAAATGTATTTTTAAATAAAACAAAAAAAATAATGAAATAATAATAAGCAAAGTAAAATAAAAATATATGTATTACTGATGTTTTTATTATTTACACTATTACTCAAAAGCTTGAATGTGAACACAAGTCCTTATTTTTATTTCAGCTAATAATTTAATTAAGATGCAAGACCTGAATATGTGCTTGTGTGTCACTGAATCTGTCTTAATCTCAAAGATGATCTTCACCTAAAATAAACAAAACCAGAGCAGTTTTCAATCATGATTAATTAAAAAAATTAAATAAGCAATAGTATTATTATGAAAATACACCCTTATAAAACATTACTTAACTTAAGGGTAATGGTTTTGGCTTATTTCAATGTAATTAAAAATAAATGTCAATGGTTTCACCTGTGCATTAACCAGACTGAGTCTGTGCAGAAACCTCTGGATCTTCATCTGTTCAGCCTCCACTGACTGACTAGAAGTGTTTCCGACCTTTTAGAAAAGGCCAGTTATTCATACTATATGCCTACCGGTAATATGACGAGCGCAATATTTCTTCAGTATGAGAATAAGACACAAACTAATTGTTAAACACAAATTTCATATGATTACCCAGGCACTTACATAGCAAGAAAAGCTGAAAAACAAACGTCCAAAATTGTCAATAAATGTCTGAAGCTCTTCCTGATGACCAGACCTACAAGGTGAGACCTGCAAAGACAGCCTTTCCAAAGCCTCTGAAAAAGAATAACAACCAATGAGAAGCTGAATCTATTCACAGCTGTGTATACGGTATGTGAAACTGGACCACAAATCCATTTAAAAATCTATAAAAACACACCATTAATTTATTATGCTGAATGAGTATATTTTGGGCAATAGTCAAAAACACATTGTATGGGTCAAAATGATAGAATTGTATTTTATGGCAAAAATCATATTATTAAGTAAATAACATATATGAATATTATAAAAAAAATATAAAAAAGGTAAATTAACTATTGTAAATAGATCAAAATTCTATTATTCATTACTAATGTGCACTTCATTTAGACCAGTGGTCTCAAAGTTAATTCCTAGAGGGCCACAGCTCTGCAATGTTTAGCTCCAACCAGCTGCAACTCACACCAGCTTAATAGTTCCGAACAGTCTTATGCTGCATTCACACCAGACGCAGAAGAAGCGCCAAGTGTGAGATTTAGGGCCTACTCACACTATGCCATCCGTACCGTGCCCAGGCCCGTTTCCCGGATCATTTGAGAAGTGTAAGTGCGCTGAATCGGGCTCAAGCATGGTTCACTTGGCCGGCCCTGGCCCGGTTGGAAGAGGTGTGCCTGAGCGCGGTTCACTTGGGCTTTGGCACGGTACGCTTGTGTGTGAGTGCAAAATGCGCCAAAGCCCGAAACTGAAAGCGAGACGTGACTTTTAAGGGGCTGTTTCATATGGATTTATTAATCATTCTTACTGTTCAGTGAACGCAAACTGCCGTAGTTTATTAAAGACGAGAACTCCTCACAGCACGACAGCTGCGCGGCTTCAGCAGACCTCCTCATTCCTGCAGCACGAGGGCTTTATGACTGTTTATGAGCGCCAAAAGTGGTGGATCTGTTGGGCGAAATATCTGACTGCGTGTCACCGCATCCCTAAGGACTGTTTGGCGAAATATTTGACTGCATGTCACTGCATAACAAACGACTGAAACGATATAATTAGAGAAATCTCCACTGTGCTACTGAGTGAGAGAGCGCTTCTCACTGAACAGCGCAGCAGCGATGACGTAAGCGTGCCGAGGCCTATTTGTGGTGTGAGTGCGGGCCGTCGGGGGAGACGGGAGACGGGACAAGCGTGCTTTGGCCCGGTTGGAGGCAACTGTACCTAATGTGAGTACGGCCTTACATGTCAAGTCAATCCAAAGGCACGTATAGACATACTGCGGCATGAATGGTGCGGTGCGAATTGAGCGTTTTGCACGTTTAACGCACTTAATGCGCGTTACTCGAGTTCGAAAATCTGAACTTCAGCAGACATTCGCGCCGCGTTAACCAATCATGAGCTTGCTCTTGTGGGGGCATGATTATGACGTAGCGCCAACCGGTTGTTGGTGTCCCGGGGGAAAATCCTCCTGCTGACACAGACAACAGTTGATCAAACTGGGCTCGGCTTAGTCGGAAGCACCGCTGAATGCTTCCATCTACCAGGTACAGTTTCTGGAGGAATTTATGAGCTCACAGAGCTGGGTGCACCTCTAAAAGGATCTAGTGGACTCAGACATGACTCCAAATGAATCAACGCTGTTTTTCAAGGTTCATAAAGCACAAAAACACAGATATTCTCTCAATAAAATCCATGTTAGCCATTTAGCAACGAAGCTACAGTCACCACCAGGCAGACAGAAGCCCTGCCCATCATGCAAATACGTGTCTGTTCTGAAGTGAATTTGACGCGCGAATGAAGCAGATTTTGACACGCGAATGAAGCAAGTAAGCTCATATGTTTACGCGTCTATTTACACACGAATATCGTGATTTATCCACGCGTTCCGCGTCTGGTGTAAACACATTAGTTGGATCAGATGTGTTTGATTAGGGTTGGAGCAAAACTGTGCAGAGCTGCAGCCCTCCAGGAATTGAGTTTAAGACCTTTGATTTATACAAGGGGTGCCGGGAGGGTCGATGTCCCACATGGTTAAGCTCTAACTTCCTTCACCACACCTTCCTGGAAGTTTCTAGAATACCTAGAAAGAGCTTATTGAGCTGGTTCAGCTCATAAACTGTAAAAATAGGGTTCAGTTGTGTTTAATTAGGTTATGAACTAAAATATGCAGGACACCGGCCCTCCAGGACTGAGTTTGGACACCCCTGATTTAGACCCTCAGATTCCAGATTTGTAATAGTGTTCAGCCAAGTATTGACTCATGCTAAGAAACATCATTCATTCAGCTTCCATATTATATACAAATCTCAATTTCCAAAAATGTACACTTATGACTGGTTTTGTGGTCTACTAAGAATACACTCACCGTTCAAAGCAGGCTTGGAAAGTTTCTTACACCAAGTACCAGCAGCAGATACTGTAAACAACAAATTGAGGTAAAATTGGTTTTATATTCACACATTATGACTTTCACCTTTTCACGATTTCAGAAAAGTATTCTCTGCAAATTAGGGAAATCATATTAGGGGCGACAGAGTGACTCAGTGGTTAGCACTGTCGCCTCACAGCAAAAAGGTTGCTGGTTTAAGTCCCGGCTGTCATTTCTGTGCAGAGTTTGCATGTTCTTCCTGTGTTGGCATGGGTTTCCTCTGGGTGCTCCAGTTTCCCCCACAGTCCAAAGACATACGCTATAGGTGAATTGGCCATATTTATGTGGTTGAATGAGTTTTTATGGATGTTTCTTAGTACTGGGTTGCAGCTGGAAGGACATCCGCTGTGTAAAACATATGCTGGATAAGTTAGCGGTTCATTCCGCTGTGGTGACTCCTGATGAATAATGGGATAAAGCCAAAGAAAAACGAATGAATGAAATCATATTAGCAGCCAATGGAGTACAACATTCACAGTCAAATAAATAATAATAATGTTAAATAATAATAATAAAGTCTTACTACATACTTAATTCATAGTCTCAAGCCATACTTACATGTGATTACAGGCCATTGATATTCAAAGTATCATAGTAAACAATATAGGCAGTGTCTGGGTTTTGGCCATTTCCAGGCTGGTTTCCAGCCATTTCCAGCCTGGTCTTAGCTGGTCAGACTGGAAAATGACCAGCTAAATCCAGGTAAAACCAGCTTGACCAGCCTGGTTTAAGCTGGACATAGCTGGTTTTGGCTGGGCTCCCAGCCTGGCTAGGCTGGTCACGCTGGTTTTAGCTGGTCATCTCCCAGCCTGACCAGCTAAAACCAGGCTGGAAATGGCCAAAACCCCTCTAAAACCAGCCTGGTCGACCAGCTAAAACCAGCCAACCAGCCTAGGCTGGTTTAAGATGTTTTTTTCAGTAGGGACAAGTTGTCACTGAACGAATTTGTGAATATAAAACAAACTTTACCTGACAGCACGTGTCATGATACATGTAATATAAATACAAACAATTTAAGTCACTCAAAAAGCTTACAGAACGTACTAATGTCTAGTAACGTTAAGTAAAGTTTGACTGTAGTGTCTTCGTGTTTTACCGGTTAAAGTCGCAGGTGATTCACGCAGAGCTCTCACGACAACCAGCAGTCCACCTGACCGTTTGCACTGTCCACATTCCCGCTGCACTAAAGCAAACAAACACCTCAAAACCTACAAAAAAATCAGTTAAAAAAGTAATATGTTCAGTATATTCACAGAAGTGTTTGCGTATAATATACAGTCACAGTAACGTAAAGCGACACAAAGGCCGAATAAAACATTTTCAGAAAACCAATCAAATAATCAAACAAACAAAAAATAAATAAAACACATAAGGAACTTATAAAGAATCCCACGTCAATAATACCTGTCGTAAACCACAATACATTTGTATTTTTAATCAAAATATCATCCTTCAGAAAGCAAACTTGTACTTGTGCTGCCCACCCGATCCACTAGATGGCGCTAAAGCCTGCTGAACGGGACTCTTTACAGCCCACTGTCATGCACTTTTTTTAGTGCTTCCCAGTTCCCACATTGTAAATAGGGAAGTCTATCTGTGTTTCTGCGAAGTATTATCTACATTTATTCAATTAACGTTAATCAGTCGTTTTACTTTAATCGTGCAGGATGAGCGCGCACCAGATGCTGAAAGTGTTCGTCACGAGACGCATTCCGCAGGAGGGCATGAAAATACTCCAAAAAGCCAGCATGTACGGCGATTTATACAGTATTTTATGCAATAATATGTCTATTTTGTGTGTTTACAATGTTTGAGATTCTCTTCTTGGAGTGTTAATGAGGTCAGGTAGCCGCGCTGTTTATTTTTAGCAGGTGAACATAAACCCCTTCCTTTAAATTATTGTACAGTAGAAATGTCAAATGGTCACACTATTATGTAATAAGACTTATTGAACACTTGGATATTTTAGGAAAACATGCATAACTTGTTTTAAATTACTGAAATGACATTGCACAAACTATTTAACTATGAGCACATTTTACAGTTTTTTTTTACATTTAACAGACTTGTCCAAATCTACTTACAATTGAGATTGAGGTACATTTGGTTTTATATTCACACATTCGGACTTTCTCTAATATTATTAATTTCGTTTTCATACAAGTATTCTTTGCAAATTCTAAACAGTGAAATCATATGAGCAAACAATGTCTATCAAAGTACAACCATGTTCACAGTCAAATATATAGTGCTAATGTTGTTTTAAAGTCATTATTTACATGTGATTTCAGACTGAATATCAAAGTACCATGGTAAACAATATAGGAAGCATGTCACAAGTTGTTACTGAATAAATGTGTGACTATAAAATCAGCTTTACCTCAATACAATTGAGGAGGCATTCAGCGATTCAACAAGAAGAGACAATGCACACAAGAAGCGCTCCTTATACAAAGGAACTGTTTTACTTAGAGTATTAAGTGCTCGAGTTAGGAGGAGGGAGTGTTTATTTTATTCTATTGGGTTGTATTTATTGTTTTAGAGCGAGAGAGAGAGTTTGACAGGTGGTATGTCCAGCCCACGCATCTGCATGAAGCACACATGTCTTATATATTTTTTATTATTATATTATTTATTTTCTTGCAATGTTTTATTCTCCGGAATGTTAATAATACAATAGTAACGAAACACTTCTGCATGTATAGTTACTAAATATCACATTATGGTATGCATGGTCTTACACACTTATTTAACTGTGCATTTGAACTCATTTTAAATAGCTGAAAAGATCCCGCATAAACTTTTGTATAAGGCATTTGTTAATGTTTTGCATTTAATATTATATATTTATATGTTTCTTACTCGGTTCCCTTTTATGTGCAGGTGTGATTTGTCACTGTGGGACTCTGATGAGCCTGTGCCCCGGGCTGAGCTCCTGAAGGGGGTGGCAGGTGCTCATGGACTCATCTGTTTACTTTCTGACAAAATTGATACCGAGGTTTTGGATGCAGCGGGTAAGGTAAACTTCAGGGGAATGTACCATATAGCTGGATTAGCTGGCTATCGAGTTAAGTTTCAGTTTAGTTTCCACCAGGATGCGAATTACAGGGGGGTTCAGAGGGTGATTGATTTCTCGAGAAGGGCATAAACAGAGGTTGGAACCAGCTCCAAGGGAGTGGGCCCTGAGTTTCAAGTGGGCTGTACAAACCTGGAGTTTTTATTTATTTAAAGTTTTGTACATGACATTAGTCCAATATTGGGATTTATGAATGTCTATACCTACCTCAACCCTAAACCCAACTTCACAGTAACCTGTTGTGCTTTATCAACGTCTACTCCACCTACACCACCTAAACCCAACGTACTTGTGGCATAAGTCCCTCCCACTTGGAGGTCACCCAACCCACTTGCAGTGTAATCCCTCCCACTTGGAGGTCTCCATGCTGCAGCGATACCCCTAATTAATGCTTGATCCCCCTGAAGGGCTTCAAAACAATGGACCATTTTTAAGATTTTTTACAATCCTATTTGTGTAACTTACATATGTTTCATTAATAAATTAAATGTAATTTCAAAAGATTCATAAACGTGATTTACTGAAGCATTACACAACACTGTAAACTTGAAAAAGTAATGTTCATTCATTCATTTTCTTGTCAGCTTAGTCCCTATAAGTTGGCGGAATGAACCGTTTTTTTACGCAGCCGCAACCCATCTTTGGGAAGCATCCACACAGACATTCACACACACACTCATACACTATGGACAATTTAACCTACCCAATTCACCTGTACCGCATGTCTTTAGACTGTGGGGGAAACCGGAGCACCCGGAGGAAACCCACACGAAGGCAGGGAGAACATGCAAACTCCACACAGAAACGCCAACTGAGCCGAGGTTCGAACCAGTGACCCAGCGACCTTCTTGCTGTGAGGCGACAGCACTACCTACTGCGCCACTGCCTCGCCCTGAAAAAGTAATGTGCAATGTATAATTCCCACCGTGGTTTTCACCAGTTCTGGATTTTAGGCACTAGAGATGCGCGGATGGGCTATTATTTCATCCGCAACCGCATCACAAAACTCATCATCCGTCCGCCATCCATCCGCACTAACATTTTTGACCAATTTTTAAAACCGCACCCGCCCGCCATCTGCTGACTGAGCTCTTTATTTGAATGGCTTATTCCTTTTTATTATTAAATGAATGTTTCTTTATTGATTATTAGAAAATAGAGAATGACTTTAATGACATGCAGTTAATTCAAACGTGCAAGTCAATGGAGCTCAGCTCTCCACAAATGGCTCTGCAGCGAGCACCACTTGGGGGTCAATGCAGAATTAATTGACGCTTTGAAGTGACGCTAAACAATACGAGGACGTGTCGTTTCACTTGATTCAATTCCTCGGTCCTTGAGTCTTTTCCTTGCGTCCTTCCCTCGCATCCTATAGGGGTGGAAAGACGAGGAAAGAAAGCAAGGAAGGGAAACAAGGATGCACAAATAAGAAATGAGAAGCACCCCTATAAAGCTCTCAGAATATCAGCAGTGAACTCCGTCTCCAATTGGCACAGGGACAAAAATAAATAAATAGCCTAAATTAAACGCACTGTACTATACAATTTTTTACTATTATTGTAGCCTAATAGAAAACGCATTTTGACACATCATTTCAACATTCAGACGAGAGCGCCTGGCCTCAATGCGCCCTGCTGCGCTGAAGGAGCGCTCGCTCGCAGCACTTGTTGCTAAAATGCATAGAATTCTCTTGGCAAGGATCTGTAGTCGTGGGAATGACTGGCCTTGTTTCTCCTAAAAGGAAAGTAGATTTTCCTCTGCTGATCCGTCTATACGGAAGTTTGTAAAGGAATACTTCTGTACTTCATCCAAAATTAGTGTATCCGATTCCTCCTCTCATTCTTTGAAGTCAGTCCTAGGCTTTTTCGTTGGTGCGCCAGCTATGTGTACAAAAACAGTACAACCGCCCACCACCCGCCCAAATTTAATTAAAATTTTATTTGTCGTCACGTCATCCGCCCGATCCGCGGTTTATCCGCGGATTCCGCGGCTGTAACCGCCATCCGCGCATCTCTATTAGGCACTATGAAAGTAGCTCAGCACATCTTGTTTGGCAGAGTGATTAAAGTCAAGCAACCTTCTTGTTACCTAAAAACAAATATTGGTGCAAACTAAACTAAAACTTAACTAGCTAGCCAGCTAATCCAGCTTCATGGTACAGGTATTCCAATACTTAAAGGTAATTTACAAATGAAATAACATTGTGATATCTTCCCTATTAAACACATCCAGGGCCCAACCTGAAAGTGATCAGCACTCTCTCCGTGGGATTTGACCACCTCGCTATTGATGAGATCAAGAAACGGTGAGTATGTCTTTCAGTAAGCCATCAGACTTTTAGAAAAAGAGCAGTGGGTGTCTTATGGTTGGTTGCGTTGTACAATTTAAATGCATGTGCTCTCTCTTTCTTGGTCTCAGAGGAATACGAGTTGGCTACACTCCTGATGTTTTGACGGACGCCACTGCTGAGCTGACGGTGGCTCTCCTTTTGGCCACTGCCCGACGGCTTCCTGAAGGTGTAGAGGAAGTAAAAAAGTCAGTCGTCGATGCCTTTTCTGCTCGTGTGATATATCAGTTTTGTTGGGAGCGTTTTCAAGTTTATTTAACAAAATGTTGATAATGTTAAAGGTCCCATGAAATTAAAATAAATTTTTTTTTAGATGTATCAATATTGTTAGTTTTTAAGATGTCTATGAGCTAGTGTGCACCAAAACTGTGACAAGATTTGTGTTTAAAAGGTTTAAAACTGTTATAAACATTTAAGGCTTGCAGTTTGTTACTTTCGTCTAAATAGATCAATGGTTTTATTCACGTCACCCCATACTAGTTTCTCATGAAATGTTGACCAATCAAATGCACTCTAGTATCTGGCCTGCCTCCTTCAAGATGCTTCACATTTGATGTGCTTGATCTCAACCTCTCTCTCTGGCAAAGTGGTGATAAAAAACTGTATTGGCTATTTTTTTTAAAAGGGGAGGAGCTACTCTGTCGCACCCTCTCTTTATGTATTGGTCGAGATTGTCAAACATTGAATAAAAATACATATTTGGATAAGTTGGCGGTTCATTCCGTTGTGGTGATCCCTGATTAATAATGGGACTAATCCGAAAAGAAAATTAATGAATGGATTTCTGAGGACTTCACAGGACTTTTAAATTAATTTGAAAATTATTTTTTTGTAATGAATGGATTTTGTTATAAATAACTTATCTGTGATTTTCTTTTGGTTCGTGACAATCTTTTGTAAAAAAATATTTTCCCTCCAACATTTATCTTTTCTGATCAACGAGGTTGGGATCTTGTCAATCACGCAAGATGCACGAGTTATGAGTTGAGTGCATTAATGCTGACCACTTTTTTCATTTCCAAATTATGTTTTACAGTATTTACGTTTTTTTTTTTTTAATTGCAGTTGAACTCAAAATTATTAGACCTCATGTGATTTTTTTTTTCTTTCTTTTTCGGATATTTCCCAAGTTATGTTTAATAGAGCAATGAATTTTTTACAGTATTTTTTAATATATTTTTTTTCTTCTGGGGAAAGTCTTATTTGATTTATTTTTACTAGAATAAAAGCAGTTTTTGAGTTTTTAAAACATTTTAAGGTCAATATTATTAGCCTCCTTAAGTAATATTTTTTGGTCTACAAAACAAACCATCATTACAATGACTTGCTTAATTACTTTAACTCGCTTAATTAAACTAGTTAACCCTTTAAATGTCACTTTAAGCTGAATACTAGTTTCTTGAAAATATCAAGCAAAATAATTAAATTAAATTCAATTCAGCTTTATTTGTATAGCGCTTTTACAATATAGATTTTGTCAAAGATGCTTCACATAAATGGTCATAGTAACTGGAACAGTGTGGTTCAGTTTTTAGTGTTTAAGTTCAGTTCAGTTTAGCTCAGTTCAGTGTGGTTTGAAGTCATTATTGAGAGTCCAAACACTGAAGAGCAAATATATCGATGCCTAGCACTACCAATCCTGAACCATGCGAGCCAGTGGCGACAGCAGAGAGGGAAAAAAAACTTCACCTGATGGGAGTGAAGAAAAAAAAACCTTGAGAGAACCAGACTCAGTTGTTTATATTATTAATATATTTATATTGTTAATATTATGTACTCTCATCATGACAAAGGTAAAAGTAATCAGTTATTAGAAATGAGTTATTAGAACTATAATGTTTAGAAATGTGTTGAAAAAAAAATCTTTCTGTTAAACAGAAATTGGGGAAAAATATACAGGGGGGCTAATAATTCTGACTTCCACTACTGTATATCACAATAGGGACGAAAAAAGAGTCAACTTCCATTTTATGTTGACTTCATGTCAAGCCTATGAATTAGAGCTTTAATGTATTACTTAAGATATTAAAGACTCTTTAATATCTCATTTGTGCAATTATTTAATATAAATAATTTCCCCGTCCCTCTCAGTGGTGGCTGGAGCACATGGAAGCCTCTGTGGCTGTGCGGTTATGGTCTTTCGGGCAGCACTGTTGGGGTGATTGGACTGGGACGCATAGGTACAGTACATAGATTTTTCCCCTCTTCAGTATAATTAATAAACAACCTATGCATCTGCTGTGTTACAGACACCATCTGTTGTTGTTTTCACTTAAGTGAAATAAATAGTGCAAACCAGTCACTTCCCACTGGATCACCTTGTTACAATATGCATTGTGATCTTTCAGCATAAACAAAGACGTCACCTACTGTATGTTGTTAAACAATGTTAATGAAAAGTTTTCAGGAAGACCTTATCATTATAGTGAAAACTATGAACTATTAATAAAACAATTTGCATTATGGATTCTCAGTTTGCTTTATGATTTATAGGTTTGGCCATTGCAAGGAGACTGAAACCTTTTGGAGTGAAGAAACTTTTGTACACGGGCAGAAAACCCAAACCTGAAGCTGAAGAGGTTGATGGAGAATATGGTAGGAAGAGAAGCTGCTTTCTCTCTCTCAATTATTTATTCTTTCATTTTCTTTTCGGCATAGTCCCTTTATTAATCCGGGGTCGCCACAGCTGAATGAACCGCCAACTTATCCAGCATATGTTTTACGCAGCGGATGCCCTTTCAGCCACAACCTATCACTGGGAAACATTCATGCACACTCATTGACACTATAAACATTTTAGCTTACCTAATTCACCTATACCATGTTTTTGAACTTGTAGGGGAAACCGGAGCACCCTGAGGAAACCCACGCGAACATGGGGAGAACATGCAAACTCCACAAAGAAATGCCAAAAGACCCAGCCGGGGCTCGAACCAGTGACCTTCTTTCTGTGAGGCGATTGAGCTACCCATTGTGCCACAGTGCTGCCCTCTCTAAATTAAATTTAAAATGTTCAATCTTGCTTTATTGACATGTCAAACGGATGACAAAGAGGGCCCTATCATACACCCGGCGCAAGGCGCGGCGCAATACTCTTTTGCTACTTTTAGCTAAGTGCAAGGTTCATTTTGAGGTGTTGCGCCACGCTGTTTAAATAGCAAATGCATTTGCGCTTAAATGTGCGCCCATAGGCGTTCTGGTCTAAAAAAGCAGGCGTGTTTTGGCGCGTTGCTATTTTGAGAAACTAAATAGTCTGATCTTTAGACCAGAACAAAGTCGGTCTATTGTCTGGCGCAAAGTGCGCCTGGCTTACACACTACAAACAAGATGCAGAGCAATACGCAAATATCTTTACATATGAAAAATATATAATATCTTAAGGATATATATATATATATATATATATATATATATATATATATAAGGATATATTCATGATATAAATATAAATGATTAAAATTTTACAAAACATATTAATTTCTATCCTACATGAAGATTTAAAAACCACTGCCTTACTTTCTTCATCTCGGGAGGCTTTTTCAGGTTATTTATAACAATTTGCTTTTGTATAATGTTGTTATTATTAGCAGTATTATTTATTATATCCATATTTATATTTGTTTTATTAAAAACAAGCTTAGATTTGTCCACCTGTCAAATTTTAGACCATATGGCGCATGGCAGGTGTATTTGGAAATAACTCAGGGTTTTGAACACACTTCGTTAATATTGTTCATTTATTAGTTTGCTAGAAATTAGAATTGAATTTAGAAATAGTTTTGAGACAAATCTTTGCGCTTAACAAACGAAATTAATTATTTATAGGCTAACTGATGTCTGTGCGTAAAGGTTTCCCTATCCATGATAGCAAAAGCGAAAGTGAACTTACTTTACGTCAAAATGCGCTTATGGCGCGACGCAGCTGGCTCTTAAAGGGAATGGGAGATGAGACTCTAATTGGTTTATTCTCAAAACACACCTATAACTCATTAAGAAAATAAACTCAACCCTTTTAGACCATGGGCCATGGCGCAAAGCAGATTTTCCCGTCCGTAAATTAGCAAAAATGCATTCTGACACGCCCTGAACCGTTTGCGCCCTGCGTTTTGCGCTCTGCGCATGGACCATCAAAATAGAGCCCAGAATTTGCGATGTTTACATTAAAACAGATCATATGAAAACAAATCACATAGTAATGATTAACAGTATACAAGAGTCAGGGTGGTTAAGTGGTTAGTACTGTTGCCCTACTGCGCTGGTTCGAGTCCCGGCGGGACCAGCTAGCATTTCTGTGTGGAGTTTGCATGTTCTCCCCGTGTTTGAATGGGTTTCCTCCGGGTACTAAGCGCTTAAGTCCAGCATCTTCACGTTGGCACACTGTCTTGACTAGTGCGGGTGAATGACATTTGTGCTGGGAGCGCTTTACAAATGTGGCGGCGTTATTGACGCATGCTCAGGGTCTGTATGCAATATCTAGTGTATATATGTCTATGGTCAACAATAAGAAGAGCTTGAAGGCGAAACAAGCATTGCAGGCTTTGTTTACTGCAGCAAGTTGACATGTCAACTGTTTTAAACCATTCATGAGCACTGCGTTTGGTGTTTTTAGCTGCAAAGATGCTTAATGCATGAATGTCTTCTAAATCTGCGCATGAGGAGAACGTTTTGCTGTGAAAACTGGTCAAGTTTAAACACTCGCACAAATGCTCCCAAATATATTTTGAGGTCGCATAGATAAAATTTGAGGTGCAATTTCGAGCCCTGGTAAACATGTTGGACTAGACCATTTTGAGAGGATGTGTTATGATTTTATGTTGACCATCTTCTCTCCATCTTTCAGTGCCTTTAGACACTCTGGTGAGAGAGAGCGATTTTGTGGTCGTTTCCTGTTCTTTGACTCCTGACACTCAAGGCCTTTGTGACAAAACCTTCTTTGGGAAGATGAAGAAAACATCAGTGTTTATCAACAGTAGCAGGTATACCACAACAGTGAAACTTGCTTGATTATTTAAGGCTTTTCACACAGATGATTAGCAGATCACATTTGATGGGTTATGCTTTTTAATAAAAGTTTTGTACTTAGTTGTAAAAGCAGGGCTTTTGGATCGTTTCTTTCAACAATGACTTCCAAGAATGAACAATGGACTGGCAAAGCCTGTATTCTCTCTCTTTCTCTAGGGGAGCCGTTGTGAATCAAGAGGACTTGTTTGAAGCCCTCAGCAGTGGTCAGATTGCAGCAGCGGGGCTTGATGTCACAAGCCCTGAACCGCTGCCAACTAACCATCCATTGCTGACGCTTAAAAACTGTGGTGAGTAAAATTTGCTTTTTAACCTTTGTGTGCTGTTCTAATTAACCACCATTTCATTATGTTTGCGGCTGTTTTTGCCCCATTTACTTCAAATTGTAAGCCATGACAGCATATAATTTTGCATTCTTGATTGTTGGTGGCACTACATCGCCATTTTGTCATGATCACATGACCTAGTTGTCAATTGCATCGCTTCACTCCCATTTATGAATTCCCTCGTGGTGCATCATGAAATAGCGTAGCCAATTGGATGCGCACTTCAGAATCTTGCTGGAAGTAGTTGGTCATCGGGGTACTTCTATGAATTCCGACATACTACTCGGCTCACATACTGTCTTTAGCGTACTATATAGTATGGAAGTATGCGATTTAAGATGCAGCCATTGTGTTCACGTGCTCAACAGAAATGACTGTGATTGGCCGTGAAGGTTCAGTTCACCAAACTCACCACTGTCAAAGAGCATCCGCTTGTTAAGTGGTGACGTGTTTGTGACGTATGTAATACTGTTTCCGGGTCCAAGCTGCCATTCATTTGAGTGGAGAAATCATTCGTTTATGATCACGTTTTATTCCTATCACACATTAAAGTTCATTTTACATAAAGTCATAGTGTACACAACAATCTCTGGGCTTGCTGCATAACAAATACCAAAAATTTTACAATTAATAAAAAATTAATCACTTTCTGGCCATCGGATATCAGGCATGGACATATATACTGCCATCATGATTTTCGAAAGCATTAAATCGCTTTGTAAACATTTATTATTACCATTTTATGAGTCTCCCCATTCAGTTGAATAGAGCACTTGGACCCGGAAGCCGCTTCGCGCGACGTCACACTTAACAAGTGGATAGAATCACCAAGAGGTGACATTTTAGTGCGATTTTGGGAAACAGCCACAAGATGCCGCTAGTGTCACACGGTGGCCATTTTGGAATGAAAATTCCAGTAGAACAACAGCATATTGTAAGTCTGTAAAATAAACTATTTAAAGTGCTGATGATTGTGAGAGTAAGTGTTGTATTGTCGTCTTTCAGGTTGTATATCAACTTTAATGTGCTTTTTAAATAAATAAATAAAAAAAACAAAGCAGCTGCTTGCCATCGCGACAGCAATAAGATTCAATGGACGGCTGATCGCTTTTACTTTAAAATGGCGGAATCGCGCGGCCGTTGCTGGGCACTGCTGTTGCACTCCAGTGTCCCAATATCTGTATTTACACTCACTCAGTAAACAGTGGTGAGTTTGGTGATGACCTTCACGGCCAATCACTGACATTTCTGTTGAGCATGTGAACATAAATGACAAATCAGTGCTGTTTCAGATCGCGCTCAACAGCGTTTAAATGGCAACAGGAAATAGACATTTTTAAAATTCCAGTATCGATTGGTACCGAATTGTTCCTTTGCTAAGCCACACCTGAAAACTGCCACACACCAACCATAGCTACATGCAGGAGGTCTGTCAAGCTTTTGAATAAAGGAAACAAGCCAAAGCGTTGTGCATATGGATTGTGCAAATCTGATACCCAGTATCTTTAAAATTTGAACAGAGTTTCAGAATTTTTTTCCCTTTCCAAAGTCTAAAACCCAAAGGGAAAAATGCCAGCTTGGATCAAGCTGTGTGAGGGGTCGTAAAAGAAGCACAATTCAGTCATATTTCCATCTGTTTCAAGCTATGAATATTAGGATTACAAATCAACAAAACTAAACAGAGATATGGTCACAATTAGCACTTGCAATCAATATACTTCACCTGTTTCTCAGTCATTTATAATCTCCATGTCTATGTCAAAGCTACAATTCACTGATGTTTTCGTCCGTCTTTTGGTCATTGGTGACGGTGTTAAAGCGGGTTAGTGTCTGCTTTTCTATTTGATGTTGGATTAATATTTGCTGGTAGGGAAAATCTATTTGTTCACTTGTGCTATTTATACTTTGATTTGCATTTCAATTTATTTATTTCCACTTAACTGCAAATTAGAATAGAAACGGTATAAAAAGCACACAAACATGCTGACAGTTATAGCTACTGTACATTGTTATGGGTAAATGATGCTAACATTTGGCTCAAATCCATCAATTTCCCCTTTCTGGCCTTTTCTTTCTATGAATGAATTGTGTAGAAGCACTGCCCATGCGTGTTTCCTCGCCGGTTAGTAACGCTATATTTCATTGCACAACAGTAGTCCATCATGCTTTTAGTTTTTATCTAAAAAAAAAAAAATAAATTCAGGGTTTGATTAGTTATAAGATTATTTTTAAATTTGACCCTTTCTGCTGTGTATGAACTAAGCTGTTGAATGGTCAGCGTTTTAGGCGGCTAGGCTAACCTAGCTTCAATTTTGATTTTCTAATTTTCTAACCAGTTGCATTTTATGCTGTGAATTTACCCCTGTAGGGCATACTGCAGTCCTTTTTTGTCTGGCTTTCTCGGATATCTCACCTGTTCGCCAAAATGACTAATTAGGTCCCTGGGAACATATACCGGCGTTTACATATTATAATAGATGGCCAGGCACGAAAGCTTGACAGGCATAACAACAGTAAAGCTATGGTCACAGTAGAGTTTGTGTGTGCGAAATTCTGTCGTGCGGTGCTGCGAAAAGGGGCGGGAATAAACAAGATTATTAAGCATTAAAAAAAGCGAGCGATTGCTCTATAATTTAAATTTCTGTCCAGAGAGGCAATGTTTTGATCCTCGGTTGGTCTCACGCAGTCAAATGATGCGATTTCGCAGGTCAGAATTCACCAAGCTTGAACTTTGCACCGCAGCAACCTGCGAAACTCGACGCATGACCCTGCGTTTCCAGAATTGCAGGGTCGCAGGGTCATGCGTCAAGTTTCGAGCTTGGTGAACTCTGACCTGCGAAATCCCATCATTTGATTGCGTGAGACCAATCGAGGATCAAAACATGAACTCTCTGGACAGAAATTTAAATTATAGAGCAATCGCTCACTTTTTTAATGCCTAATAATCTTGTCTAATCCTGCCCCTTTTCGCAGCGCCGCACGACAATATCGGACACACAAACTCGTGTGACCGTAGCTTCACTCAGTGGAAAGGGTCATAAGGATAACGGGGCTTAGCGAAGGGTCAATTTCAGTATCGTGACAACCCTAGACTGCATAAATACATTTACTGTGGTCTGAGAGCTGAGCTGCTTATTTTTATTTTCTCAAACATATCAAGGTAAGTGCACAAAAGTCTCTCTCAAACGCATTATTCTCCATATAACCATATCATTTTACACCAGAAACAAAGCTATTTTTTTTGCACTGCAACTGATGATCAACAGTAAAAATGTAAAATTGTACCTCTTCCCAACAGGGAAAACCAGCAACAATCAAGAATGCATGATTATATGGTGTCATGACTTTGTAATAATAAAAAAACTTTAAATGGAAGACAATGGGGCAAAAACAGCCACGAACATAACGAAAGGGTAGTACATTTCCCAGTGTTTCAGAGTTTCAATTTTCAAAGCATTTTCCCAAAATATGTCTCATAATGAGAGTAGTCACCAAAAAAAACTCCATTTGCTGAAACACAGAGAAAGCTGTGGCCCAATTAAGACGCAAAATCATCCCAGAGTGGACGAAAACATCCCCAACAGCACACAAGGGTTATATCTCACTTCTACATTGTAAATGCACCTCAGAGAAGCGATCTGTCTTCAGTCTTTACCATTGAAAACCTTGATGTTATTTTGTCTTGCAGTGGTTCTTCCTCACATCGGCAGTGCCACTTACTCTACCCGCGGTGTTATGAGTGAACTGACGGCAAACAACTTACTGGCAGGCCTGACGGGCTCTGAAATGCCCAGCGAGCTGAAAATGTAGCAATCTAACTCGTGCCTTACACTGACAGAAAACCAGTCTAACCTAACAACTGAATGCACTACATTTACCATGAGATTAGATGGGATAAAACATGTATTAGATTAGGTTTATTGGATAACCTCATTCCAACACAATGATTTAATACACTCATTTGCTCTAACTGTGAAATTCGAGATTCATTCAACACTCAACTGTCCTTATACACTCCATGATGCTGATTAAAGATGCTGAAGAATGAATGATACAGAACAATAAAGGATTTACTGAAAAGTCTGTATTTGGTAGTTGAGTCATGAATACAATGAAAACAAAGAAAGGTACAATTTCTGCAGTGCATTAACAGAGTGTATAGTATCCTCGAGACACATGATTTTGGAAATACTACTGTCAATATAAATGGCTGAAAGGATTTATTGCTTGGGTCACTGTGAACTTAAAATTCTTGTAGACATCACCTGTTTTTAATGGAGTTTGGATGAGGACAAATCACCCAGGGAAATAAAAAAATTTAATTAGCGACTACACAAATTGACCACATCTCTTTGTGGACTGCCGATGTAATCGATTCTGTGCAGCATCGTCCCAGTCCCGCATGCTCTTCTGTACAGGGAATGTTTTCGCCCATGGGTGAAGCTTCATATGCTGTCCAGCTTCTTCAAAACATAGGGTGCTGAAATAAAAGGAATTTATTTAGTAATTAAAAGCAAGTGGGCTTCAAAAATGTGTCATGAATGATATTTAAAGCTGGTACAAAAAATATGAATACATGTATGTTAATATGCTATTACAACAAGATTAATACCTCAAGGTAAAGGTGATTTTATATTCGCACATTCCTTCATTTGTGAACAGTGACAATTTCTCACTGTTCTTTTAAATATTGGGTCTGAAATAGATTTTTAAAACAACATAAGAATTATCTAATTGACTGAGTAATGCTATGCATTTGAACATAAAACCGATGTTCACCTCTTTCATTTAATTTTGAGTGTATTAGGGCCTACTCACACTATGCCATCCGTACCGTGCCCAGGCCCGTTTCCCGGATCGTTTGAGAAGTGTGAGTGCGCTGAATCGAGCTCAAGCACGGTTCACTTGGCCGGCCCTGGCCCGGTTGGAAGAGGTGTGCCTGAGCGCGGTTCACTTGGGCTTTTGCGCGGTACACTTGTGGTGTGAGTGCAAAGCCCGAAACTGAAAGCGAGACGTGACTTTTAAGGGGCTGTTTCATATGGGTTTATTAATCATTCTTACTGTTCAGTGAACGCAAACTGCCGTAGTTTATGAAATACGCAAACCCCTCACTGCATGACAGCTGCGCACCTTCAGCAGACCTCCTCATTCCTGCAGCACGAGGGCTTTATGATTGTTTATGAGTGCTAAAAGTGGTGGATCTGTTCGGCGAAATATCTGACTGCGTGTCACCACATCCCTAAGGACTGTTCGGCTAAATATTTGACTGCATGTCACTGCATAACAAACGACTGAAACGATATAACTAGAGAAATCTCCACTGTGCTGCTGAGTGAGAGAGCGCTTCTCACTGAACAGCGCAGCAGGGATGACGCAAGCGTGCCGAGGCCCGATTGTGGTGTGAGTGCGGGCTGTCGAGGGAGACGGGAGGGGGGACAAGCGTGCTTTGGCCCAGTTCGAGACAACTGTACATAGTGTGAGTACGGCCTTAATCAACCATGTTACACCTGTGGTGTTTCCGGTCAAAAGTGACTGCCATAGGAAATGAATGGGTATCCAGACTATTTATCCATCAGAAAGAAAACATCTCCATAAACATTATTCCAAGTCACTGACTGACACATTTCAGACCGAATGCCTTTTGCAGATAAGCATCTCTATTCTGTGTCGATCCTCCAGCCTGGTCTCATAAGGAAATGTAACTATTTTACATTTGTCAGTTTAGTGTCCAATTCGTACATACAGCAGCTGATAGGTCCACTGTATAGTAATGAAGAGGAAAGATGTAAGCCTTATGTCACAACTTACGCAACACAAGTACTTATTAATCAAAAACTTCTAATGCAGTTTTTACAATGAGAATTGAAAAGTTCAATAGAAAAAAATATTTCTGATAAATTCTGCTAAAAAAAAACTAACACCATTTTAAAATATTAAGAGGTTGAATAATCATTGTACAGAGATAAGGGCATCTTACTGGCCACATTTTCTAACAAACATTGTGTACTTTACCATGTCAGTTTAATGGTGAAGGGATTGATCCAATAGGTCTATTAATGGAAGATTTGTATAAAAAAAAAAAAATTTTAATGCTTTTTTTTTTAAAAAATACAAAATACTGTATTTTATTTTGATACACGTTATGACTGCTTTATTCTGTAGCTTATTTTCATCCACATATTTAGGTATTCTATTTTAAAATATATTTCTTTATTTCTTTCTCTTGAAAGAAAGAAAGAAAGAAAGAATCTTGTGTCTTTTTACTTTCTTTCAGCCAATCTCTTGGTCAAGTAGGAGCACTTTTACCTTAGCGTCAATTATTTTATTGGATTAGATCATAACCATCTCGCTCAAAAATGACCAAAGTATAACTTACTGTATATACCCTCATTCACTATTCCCTACATTAGTACACTAATGTAATCCAACTGAAGGACTGAATGAAAATTCCAGCACTCTGCACACAGGAAAGGATATTGTTTTGTTTGTACTTTGCCGGTTGATAAATCATTCAGATGGATTAAAGAGTCAATTTTTTTGGTCAGACCCTGTGATAGTGATTTTAGCGAGCTGTCTATTGGTAATGAAACAAAGTTTTTCGATTTCGGTCATCTATTGTTCATTTTGTAATACATATTTAGTGCCTACTTGTATTTACCACAGTTATTGTATGTCTATTGTATGTCTATATAAATTCATGTTAAACACTACTTTAAGACATTGTTCATAGCTAAAGAATCTTGAGTAAAAATTAAGAAGGTTAAGAAAGTCAAAATGTGCTAATGTAAAACCATATTTATCTTAATGTGTCATTCAACGATTTAAAAGGTGTGGCACACTTGCATATTTAATCAAAATGAGGTAAACAGTAAAAATATGCTAATTATACAATACCATTCAAATCTTTGACATTTTAATTCTTTCATTAACGAGAAGTGATACATCACGGCTACTAAAATATGTCTGTTCTTGAAAAGAAATGTTCTTTAGGCTCAAATATACGTAATAACTATACAGATTTTGAATTCATTATGAGTGCTAGAGGTGACCTCTGTCATTCATCATCTACATATAGACCAAATTCATCCATTTATGTTGAAAAGACATATTACTCATGATTTAACGCGGTCCCAAGACAAACTCTATGAATATAAATGACAATCAAAATTTAAAGACGACACACGTGACATTTAATCTAACCCAAGACATGCATGAAGCGTCTGGAATACTCACTGACTCGCAGAAGCGCAACGTAAATCAAAAAGTTGCGAACAGACGTAATGACATCTTCACGCATTTTCTTCTTCATCTCCTCCGGGTCCATTTTCGGCCCGAGTCCCTCTAGTTTAAACATTTTTCAGCTTGAATGAAGGGTTTTTTGTGGTTGAAATGATCTCTTCAAGCCACTCTCTGTCCTAAAGGCATGCGAAAAGGGAAATACGTCACATCGGAGCTGCCTCTAGGACCCCCGCTTTTTCCCTACTAAGTTGTGCCTGATATTAAATCGGGTATTCTTACGATCAGTTTGTTATTAACAACAACGCATTATTTTCATAATAACATATTATAACATGGCAATGCGTTAAATATAAACTTCTTTCACACATTGTATGAAAATTGTTAATAATAGTGTTATTTTAATCAGGCAATATCAAAAAGAGCACATCTAGTCACGGCTCATTGTTTTGGTTTTGTTGCGCGCTTGTTGTGAATCTCTTGTCGCTGTGTAACAAGACAGCAAAACTGAAGACTTTATAACGCGCTGGTTTTATTTCCTTAAGACATATTTTATCACAGATATTGTGGCATCCATTTTTAAATGTTCAAATATCGTTGTAGCTGCACGTAATATACATTTGATTTACACACAAGTCCATTGAGTACTGAATGAATGATGGACCCCAGTGGACTTATGTCCAGTAACGCTTGTCTGAAATGGGTTCATGGATTCAGTGAAACGTCGCCGACGTGTTTACCCAGTAAACGTAAACGAAATGATGCCAGTACACTAAATGGCAATGAAGGAGACGCTGCTAATGGTTTTCCCTCCAAAGAAAACTTGAGGAAACGTAGGTATTGCTCTCTCAGCTGAGCTTTTGAACGGGTCATTACTTTTAGATGTTTTTTTTTTAGTTTGGTTTTGAGTTTAAGCTTTATATTTAAATATTTAACCAGTAAAGACATACTAACATCTATATCTAGCCATACTCCGAAGCTAAAATCTTTAACATAAACACTAATATTAATCATTTCTTTGGCTTGTAATTGTGAAGAATTTGCAAAGCATATAGTCAGGGCTGCACATCTGACATTTTGATACTTTGTTTTGCTGCAATATACCTTGGCGATATGCATATAAATTCACCAGATGATTTGAATAGGTCTATTTAAAAATATTTATTTTTCTATGCAGTGGATCTGCATAAAATATTATAAATTAAAAGAAAAAATAAACAGTGCTTTATGGTTTTCAGGGCTATCTAATAATCAAACGTAAAATAACATGTTCATCATTGAATAAATAACTTTAAAAATAACAACATTGAAGCACTCTTGCCTCACAGCAAAAAGGTTGCTGGGTCAGTTGGCATTTCTGTGTAGAGTTTGCATGTTCTCCCCCTGTTGGCGTGGGTTTCCTCTGGGTGCTCCGGTTTCCCCCACAAGTCCAAATACATGTGGTGCAGGTCTATGTGTGTGAATGAGAGTGTATGGATGTTTCCCAGTGAAGGGTTGCAGCTGAAAGAGCATTCCGCTGCGTTAAACATATGCTGGATAAGTCGGTGGTTCATTCTGCTGTGGCGTCCCAGATTAATAAAGGGACTTAGCTGAAAAGAAAATGAATGAATGAATAATAATATTTAATAGTAGTATATTCTATTGCAGATCTACACATTGAGATATCGATGTTCAAACATTAAATTGTTTAGCCTTACATATAGGCCTATATGTTTGTTTATAAACAGATTCAGTTGAAGGCAAAATTATTACCAGCCCTCCTATGAAAAATTAATTAATTTTCAAATATTTACCGAGTGCTGTTTTACGTAAAGATTTTTTTCAATGTATTTTTAAAAACTAATTTTTTAAAACGAATTCCTTTGGTCTTTGTCATGATAACAGTACAGCATATTGCACCATTTTGTTTAATATCCTACTTGTATTCGGTGCAAAGTGCAATTTTTATGGCTTAACTAAGTTATTGGCAAGTCATTGGTCAACGCACGTCAAGATTTTGCCAAGTACAATGCAATCCTGGATTAACATCTTGATCCTGGAACATAATTATTGTTTGAAAATGTAATATATACCTATTCCCTACACCCCAAAACCCAACCAATACTGTAAATTATTCCCAAAATCAGAGGGAATAGTTGGATAACAATCATTTAAAAATGCATAAACCAAACCATAAGCTTAAACTTAGCATAAACTGTAAACATATCTCTTAATTCTGATTAGAAATGTTGTTCCAGGATCAACAAAGAGCAGGGGTGGCCAACCCTGTTCCTGCAGTCACCTTCCTGCAGATTTCAGTTGCTACCCATATCAAATACACCTGAACCAATTAATTAGGACATGAAATCTGCAGGAAGGTGGCTCTCCAGGAACGGGGTTGGCCACCCCTGACATAGATGATAATCCAGAAACACGTCCTACTTGATGAAATCCAGTTGGCGTTGGTCAACAGTGGGTTGTTCTGTAGCCATCGGAAAAGAAAATCCTTTAAGGGGGCTAATGATATTGACCTCAGCAGTTTTACATTATTTCAATATTTATTTTTTTCTAGCCATCTAAAAGAAATAAGTCTCCAGATGTAAAATATAATAGGAAAATACTATACAAATGATTGCTCCGTTAAAAATTCACCAGTTAAATAATTGAAAAAGAGTTAAAATTGCTATTATTTCTCTCACCTTTAGGTGGTTTTGTCTTGATTGATGGCCAGAGAGGTGTGTATCAGTCGGAGAGCTGGCAGCCCAACGGCAGCACTCTATACCTGCCTGTGAATGGCACTTTATTGGCCAACATCGAAAAATATGATCAGATCAGCTTCGAGCAGGGCTGCTTCTGCATCGGCAATGCAGCAGGCGGATTTCAACAGAAAGTCCAGGGTAAGCCCCTTATTAGTTTATTTCCATAACATGAGTGATATATTTTCATAAGTAGTAGCTCTAGTGGGTGAATTTTCCACTAATATGTATACACGCTCTTTTTTGTTGTTGTTGTTTTTAGGTCAAACCATCCACTGCTGGCGATATAGTGAGCGTGAGCGAAAGCTTTTCATTGCACTGTCGTACCTGTTTACAAACTTAGAAGTGAGTTCATTGTTAAATACTACAGTAAATATTTCCTCCATTTTAGTGTGATTTGTGCCTTCATAACAATAAACTGTCTTTTATTCCCCATGTTTTTGTAGGTGTTTCAGGAAGTTGTCAGCACTCTTGATTGTCTCTGACGATACAGAGTTGCCTAAAAAGCTCAAACCTATCTTGTTGCTGTTTAGTACAGCCTGTATATTGAATACTGTATTACATATCATGACATACAGTATGTGCCTTTTCAACACATCAGTGCTGTTACAGACTGACATGTTCTGTGGACAATGAAAGATATCTGCCATGATATTATAAAGTGTAGTTAGTTAATCCACAGTGTTATATTTCTTTAATGAGGCTACTGATTTGTTTTGCCTCTCAGCCTCAGTTATCCAACACTGAATCAAAACATAACATTAAAAAACTGTATTCTACTTATAAAATGTAAAGCTTGTTGCTGATTTTATATGACATATTTGTACTGTATATCATTTACAATAAGGTTTCATTGGCTTAAAGGATAGTTCACCGTATTAATAAAATTTAATTAGCCGTTACATACACAATGTAGGTGACGTTTTCTTCAGTATTAAAGATATTTGTAGCTGAATCTGTGGTCAACATATGCAAGTCAGCAGCTAACACTTTGAGAGGCAAAACAGTATAGAGGCAAAACAAAACCTGACAGTAGCCCCTTTCACACAGTGATACCGGTAAATATCCGGAAAATTTCCGGAACGACTTTACCGGTATATTCAAAAAAGCGCTGTTCACACAGGCGAGGACGTTACGGAAATTTTCCGGAAAAGAGCATTCACACATCCATTCCAAAATACCGGTAAATTCTGACATCATTCACCACAAATGAGCTTTAAACGGCTGCGCTTGTATTTGTAAACATTTGACTAAATTACAAACTCTGTGGATGATCAATATTGTAAACAACTTTCACTGGATCATATTCGCATGTCGAGATGTTCATAATATGTGCGTGTGCTGACGCTCACAGGCTGTTTCATGGGCACACGCAAAGCTTGAAGGTAAACAAACAACGGCTTATCATAAGCATCTTATCGATGATTATTTGCACAGTTGGCATTAAGAAGAACATATAAACGTTATCTGACTAACTTCTAGCAGCTAAATGTGTCTGGAAAAATATTCAAAGGCTTTTATTCTCACAAACCGCGCGGACGTAAATGCGTCTGACTGTTGTGATTGGCTAAAGCAGACGTCTCACGTCAGCACGTTCTAGACATGCACGAGCTTATTCCGGAAATCTTCCTTCTGCGTTCACACAGCGCAGCATTCCGGCAAATTGCCGGTAATGTTACAACTTCTCTTTCCGGAAAATAGCCAGAACGAATTTACCGGTATTTTCAAAAAGGACCTGTTCACACATACAACCTTTCCGGAAAATTGCCGGTAATTTTCCGGAAAGGTCTGTATGTGTGAAAGGGGCTATTGTTTCAATTATTTACCACAGTGTAATCTCAGTGTATCATCAGGAGCCACGCACACACACAAACTCACTTTCAAATGTTTGGGTGAACTAACCCTTACACATCAGTTAATTAGTTAACTAATGATAAACAATCCACATTCAGCATTAATTAATATTGGATAATATACATTTTTAAATGTGATCATCTGCATAACTAAGAAATCTTGAAATAAATGCACACAGCAAACAGTTTGTTAATAAACTAAAATAATGCCTTGTTCAGTTATTGATTAATTGAATGAAACCTTATTGTAAAGTTTACCAGTGTTTGTAATGCTAAATTGCTAGTCTTGTATGTTACTGCTTCATACTTGTTTTATATATTTCTTTTTTAAATACATTTTTTTTACATTAAAAAGGACAATTTCAGCCTTTTACTTTTGTGCAGTGAGCTTTATTTATTTTTCTAACAGGGTGTCCGCGTAAAATTTTGAGAAAACTTTGAGACAATTAAGGCCCTTAAAGGTATAAAAGTCTTAATTGCGTTTTTACGAGGTTTTCAAGTGTTGTCCAAAGTTTTTGACTTCAAAAAAGCATAAATATATTTATTATCTTCCTAATATTACAATGGTGTGCTCGTTCCAAGCGATTGCTTCTGGCCAGGCGGGTCCGGCCAAGCTCCTCCATCCGGGTGATGTTACGTCATTTGTGACAAACGCAGAAAAAAGATGTGAAGCTCTCCACATGTTGCGTAACCATATCAAAACAGACGGCAAAATGGGAAAATGTAAGTTTGCATACTCCTGGTTGAAGAAAGACGAGTTTGAACAGTGGCTGAAGCCTGTCGCTGAAAACAACCTTGTGATTTACTCTTTCAAGCTTTGTATCTCCTGCGCTTCTGTTGCATGGTTGTGCTCCATTAATTTATTTAACTAAAGCTGTTTATTAACAATTGTTTATTAAATTAAAGGTTTGATCCTGATTAGTACTTGAAGTGGCGATGAGGTCTTAAAATATTCTGAGAAAGTCTTTAAAAGGTATTGAAATTATCATTAGGATTCCTGCATATACTAAACTCAACGTTTCTTCAAGTAAATGAAGAAAGTGACGAAAATTGGAAATATCTTGCACATATGGTATATCTTGCACCAACCATTGCACATATGTCTTGAAAAATGCTATTTGAAATACAGAAATACATTGCCATTTAGCATATTATATTTCAAAATGAATTTTGCTACTTATATGCTTCCACAACCAAAGTCCAAAGAGACTACCAAAGACTCTTTAAAGCAAGTCATTTCACTCGGCGGACATCTTTAAAAACACCTCTCGGGCAGTATGCTCGGGCATTCTGTTTAAATGGGGAAACATCAAATTCTCCAAATCTACTTGCGCTTTCGATTCCATTTTATATTACGAATAACAATTAAACAACAACCGTCTCTTTAGTTTCATTTCTAAATGTTCGTTTCTGGACTGATGATTCTCCTGGGGTGTGGCTCGGACCAGAAGTGAGTTTCTGCAGTTTTTATGTGATTCAAAGGTTTAGAAATGAAACTAAAGAGACTGTTGTTGTTTAGTTTTACTGGTGATTCCTAATGCGAAATTTAATCGTAGGCTTGGCAAACAGTTTTGGAGAATTTAATGTTTCCCCATTCAAACAGAATGCCCGAAAGGAGTTTCAAAGATGGCTGCCGAGGGAAAAGACTTGCCTTAAAGGGACTTTGATATTGTTAGACTCCCAAGAAAACTCAAATAGAGTTATTCCAAATCATCTTATCGAATATTAATAAAAAAAATTGCACACTCCATTTTTTCCAATATCGTACACTCCTCCATACATTCGTTTCATACACAGCTTTCCATTGATCATTCATTACAGAGATCCTGTATGAGTCAGAATTAAGACTGGTTTATTTTTTTCTCCATGAGTTTTTATGAATGTAATACGTAAGACAGATTTTAACCTATTATTCCTTTTCAAACATCAGGCTTCACTTCTCATAATGCCATTTAAAACTGTATTATAAATTATACAGTGTGCACAACGGCTATTAATGTTTCCAGTCTTTTACAGAATTGCTCAGATTTAAGGGTAATTCTGAGAAAATAAGCGTGTTAGTGTTAAAAGAAGCAAACTGATGGTGAATGTTAGTGTTATTATGGCTCAGAGATAGGTTATAAAGACAGCTGGTGCTGAGATTCACTGCAGTTTGATGCAAGGAGAGCTTTTTGGCACCAGTCTAAATGATTCGTTACTTTAAATGAAACAGTTTAAATAAAAACAGCACCGTGCCAAAGATGAAGATGAGCTTTGAGTGAACTATGCTGAATTTAAATTAATTTTAGAACTCATAACAATGATTTTGGAAACCCTTTTAAATGTGTTCATCAGTGTTTAATTATGTGATGAGCTGCGATTTAAAAATGTTAATAGGTCATAAAGAAATAAAGATTACTGGTGTATTTTTACATATATTTTGAAAAATAAAAATAGAACTTGGGTGTCACGGTGGCGCAGTGGGTAGAACAATCGCCTCACAGCAAGAAAGTCACTGGTTCAAGCCTCCTTGGGTCAGTATGTTCTCCCACCGTGTACCTTTTTTCTGAGAGTGTAGCTAGATGAGCTTTAAGCGAACTAAGTTGGATTTTAATTAATTTTAAGAGCTCATAATAATGATTTGCAAACCACTTGGACTGATTCAGTATAAAATGTGTTAATTTGTGCATAATATCAATATATTTAACATTTTAATAATCTTTAATGTGTTAAACTGTAATAAAAATGTAAATAGGTAATAAAGAAATATAGATTATTGGGCTATTTCTTATTTATATTTAGAAAATAAAAAATAGTACACTGAAAAAAAAAGAAATTATAAACTATTTATATGGGCTGAATTTAAACAAACTAATTAAATGTATTAAGGTTCAACTTAATTTGTTTGTTTAAATTTAGCCCAAATAAATTCTTTGCAAACACTTACCTTAATTTTTTTTTTTTGTAAATCCAATAATATTTTTTTCAGTGTATTAAATGAATCTTTAATTTGTTTAAAAAAATTATTTGGTGTTAATTTTTACAATTAAAATGATAATTTAGTGGTCTTCTATAATTGCACCAAAGCTAGTTGCAATTTATTTTAGTTAAATAAACAGTAAATAAAAAAATGTATAATAATTAAAAACTTTAATTTAAATGTAATAATTTAAATTTAAACAATAATACACAATACTATTATACAAATTGTTTAATTTATCAGTGAAGTTGTTTTTAAAAAATTCTTATATAACTCTTTTCTTATTTATTATTAATATTATTTTATAAGTGAAAATGATTTCATTTCCTTATTCCTCAAACGTTAGATCTTATCAAGTTAATTAACTAGATTTTTTTAATTTTTAAAGAAAATGAGAGAAGTTTTGAACATGCAAAATAAAAAAAAGCTTTCACATTATGGTGAAATGAGATCTGAAGCAAGTGTGTTTTCACTCTCTGAACACTAGACTGCAGCACAACACAAGACATTTTTCCCATGATTCTGTGACAGAGAGGTTTACCTGAACACAGGGGCGGACTGGGACAAAAAAAATCAGCCCTGGCACTGCAGCCACACCAACCCACATACCACATTGACACAGCCTCACCCACAGACATGCACATTTACTTCTTATATTGGTGTGCAGGTGGTGAAATAATATGAGCAGTGCCATATGTAATAGATATTTAAACATTTAATGTATGTGACTGGAACAAAAACAACCCATTTTTAACAAATTTGTACATACATTCATTTCATCCATTTATTTTCTTTTCAGCTTAGTCCCTTCATTAATCTGGGATCACCACAACAAAATGAACCACCAACTTATCCAGCATATGTTTTGGAAAACACCCACACACATATACAACAGATAATTTAGCCTACCCATTTCACCTATAGCACACGCCT